TTTTCTCTGTTCCTCCTTCTCCTCAGACTTTTCTCCTAAGATTGAGTTATTTAGAAAACATCAAGTCTGTATATTTGAAGTTATCAGTGTTTATTTGGATTATTTAAAAAAGCAAACAATTCAGACTAATGCTGTTGGGATTTGTGTAGATGTTGCCCAAGCATCAGATTATCCAAGGACAAGAATGTGTGGGTATAAATTATCAAGACCTCATGGTTAGAATCTAACCATTTTCTTTTCACTGGCTGCCTGTTGATCTCTTCCAGTATTTACCTAATTGCCCCATTCTTACTGATGGTGGGTTTGGGTTTTGTAGTGGTTGTGATGTGGGTTCCACTGCTAGGGAGGAAGCCTGGTGTTCTTTGTCCTGCCAGAGGAATAGTGGTAGGAGTCTGTGTGCTGTGTAGGTTTGAGTGTGACAAAAACAGAAGGTGGGAGGACCACCTAGGTGGAGAGATCTTCAGCAGGTGCAGAGTAGAGAGATCACAAAGAGCAAGTACTTCATAATGACCAAAGACTCTTGCACTTTTTTCTTAGAAATCAATAAGGAAAAGAGAATTTCAGTGAGTTCTTGATATAGCGGGTATATATTTGGTGTATATTGCAAATGTCTTCTCCTTTCTTTTTTAACATTATTATATTCTTTTGACAGACAAGTGTCCTTGAACAACGTTTTCTGTATCATTTGATTCTCTTTTTTTTGGTACAGTTTACAAATTCAAATGAAAGGCAATTAAAAAAATAGAATTGTAGAGATTCTTTAGTGGTATGTCTCCTTTTTACCCTTGCCCACCAACCTTCTCCTTTGAAGGTGACCATGTTAGGACCTTTTTGCATATAATTTTCTGATCAAATTTTTTTCTCTTATTTTTTTTTATTTCAGAACAGCTTTATATTTACATAATTATTTCAAAGATAGTCCAGAGAATTATTCAACATCTCACATATATATTCCTCTATTGTCAAAATCTTGCATTAGTATGGTTCATTTGTTATAATTAATGAACCAATATCAAAGTCCAGACTTTATTCATATGTCCTCAGATTCTACATAATGTCTTTTTTCTGTTCCCATATCTCATCCAGGACAACATATTACATTTAGTACTCCTGTCTCAAGGCTCTTCTTGGTGTGGCAAGACTCAGAAAGCTTCTCAGACTTTCTTTGTTTTTGATGTCCTTGACAGTTTTCAGATTACTAGTCAGGTATTTTGTAAAATTTCCCTTAATTGGAATTTTAAAAAATATATAATGCCCACACCGTTATAACCACCTTTCTTAAATCACACAAGTCAGTGATTTTTAGATATTCACAATGTTTTACAACCATCCCTACTATTTAATTCCAGAACATTTCATCATCCTATAATGAAACCCAATAACCATTAGCAGTCACTCCCTATTCATCCTTCCCCCCCATTCTCTGACAATCACTGCTCAGGTTTCTGTCTCTATGGATTTGGGTATTTTGTACATTTCATATAAATGGACTCATACAAAATGTGGCCTTTTCTGTTTGGATTTTTTTTTTCCATATAGCATAACATTTTTCAGAGTTCATCTATTTTACAGCATGAATCAACACTGCATTCCTTTTTATACTAAATGATATTGTAGTATAGATATGCCATACCATATAATATTTTATTTATCCATTTATCAGTTGATAAAGAGTTATTTCCTCTCTCCAACTATTATATAATAAGGCTGCAATGAAAATTCATGTACAAATTTTTGCATAGATGTGCGTTTTCATTTATTTTGGGTTATGCACTTAAAAGTAGAATTGTGGATCATAGGATAGCTTTATGGTTAAATTCTTAGGTACTCCTGACCTTTTTTCTAAAGTGGCTGCACTAATTTACATTTCTATCAGCAAAGTATGAAGGTTCCAATTTGTCCACATCCTCCTTAACACTTGTTATTGTCTTTTTGATTATAGCCCTCCTAGTGAGTGTGAAAAGGCACCTCATTGAGCTATTCTTTTGCATTTCCCTATTGACTAAGAATGTAGAATATCTTTTCATGTGCTGATTGGCCATTTGTTTATCACTTTTTGGTGAATTATTTATTCAAATCTTTTTCCCATTAATTTTTTTTATCCTTTTATTGTTGAGTTTTAAGACTTCCTTTATATGATATTTGCAAATATTTTCTACCATTCTGCTGGTTGTCTTTTTACTTCCTTTATAGTGTCCTTTGAAGCAAAAACTTTTATGTAATTGTGATAAAGTCCACTTTATTATATTATTATTATTATTATTATTATTATTATTATTATTAGGTTGCTTGTACATTAGGTACATCATATCTAAGTAAACATGGTTTACTTAAGGTGACACAGATTTGCACCTATGTTTTCATCTAAAAGTTTTATATTTTAAACGCTTACATTTATGTCTTTAATCCCTTTTGATTTAATTTTTATATATGATATAGGAGTTATGATCAGTTTTGCCAATTCTTCAGCTTTCGTTTTATAAAGAATAGTTGTTTTGTTAGTTTTATTCCAGATTTGATGTCCCTTAAGCTCATACCTTGGGTTTATGACTTGGAGATAGGTCTAGACTTTGGAAAAGATAGAATTGTTTAAAGACATATGTGGGTCTAGCAACATAGTCCTTATAGCAAAGTTTATTGGTAAAGTCTTCTTTTCTTCACTTCCCAATTGCAGGGTATGCTTAGTCAGGGTTGTAAACTGATATAAATTATACTCTATAAGTATATGAGTGATCCAATATGGAAGTTTGGATTGTGTGTCAGGCTCAGGGAGTTCATCATACCATTTCTAGTATCTAAAGCTAGCTTCTTAATGCAGTATAGAAACCAGAAAATTATGAGGAGGGTAGTTAGAGTTGTCAAAAAGAGTAGGCTGGAAAGGTTTTGGAAGGGGGGGATTAATAAACTAGATAATCAAGTACATTACAGTTGAGAATTAAGTATAATTTTATTTTATCTTAATATTTAGTTTTTAATTCTAAAAGTAATGATCACTATAAAAAGTATAAGCATGGTAAAAACAAAAAAAAATTGTCATGGCCAAGAGAAGCCTAAGGGGACATGACTACTGAACATATATGTGGTATCTTACAACAAGAAAATGACATTAGGAAAAATCTGAGGAAATATGAATAAGGTATGGATTTTAATTAACAACAATCACATATATACCCAATTCTCATTCCCCAGTGGAAGTTACTTTGTAATATTTGGGGCAATTCTAAGAGCTAACACTTCTATAGAGTTTTTGGTCTGAATCAAACCCTGTTCTAAAGATGTATATTAACTCACTTAGCTGTCAAATCATTGTATAAGTACAATTCCTCCATATTTTACAGACTAAAGAAACAAGGCACAGGAAGTTAGATAAATTGCCTAAAGTAACATTGCTATCAAGCATCAAAACTAGAATTTTGAATTCAATGAGTCTGAGTCCAAGGCATGGTTTCCATTACTAACTATAGTGGTATGTGTGTTATTTCATATATTTTTTCAGTGTGCATGTAAACATATTTACATAAAATATCCACCTAGCATTAATTTTACATAATATTTTGCTATTTGCTCCCATGATCAGAGTTGACTTTCTATGTGTAGGGGGTAACTAAAAATAGCCAATATGCCAGATGCCATATTTTTGGGGTAGTATGTTATGAACTCCTTCATATGTTACTTCACTTGAATGTGTAAAAATGAACCATTAGTGCAATTTTGTAGATCAAAAACCTACAAACCTATATTGATAATTTCACATGATGCAGCACAAAACTTCATTCTTTATATCAGCCAGATTATATTTATATATAATATCAGTCTATTATTCTTTATATAAATAGATAACAATTTACTAAGTCTGTCTTTCATGAGGCAGATTACATAGTTTCCAAGATTTTATTACGATAGATGTCTCCACTGAGATGTATCTTCACACTTGTTTGTATAGTGTATGTATATGATTGGGAACAGAGCACTAGTTTAGGAGAATGGGGAGGGGATTTTAGCCATGTAGACGCCATTAGCCCACCTTCAGCCTCGGTTTTTTGATGTGGAGAATTGAGAAAATAGAAAAGCTATGTAAAATACTATGCAAATACAGCTTCAGGATTCTTTCCTTAGCTTTCTCATCTTAGCATTGTCTTTTCCGTGTTATACATATGAAGCAATTTTGGAGTTACCAATGAGTGCCTTAAATCTGTAGACAGAGTGTTACTAGGAAAAAAGAAAATCATTGTATGTACTTGTTCATTAATGTTGTATGAGAGTGATATTTTCCCCACTCCAGTTATCACTGATTATTGGTAAAAATCTCAATGTATCCAAGTAAAGGCTTTGTTTTATTCAGGGATGGAAGCTCATTTTTTGTTTTATGAGAAATGAGTAGCCAACTTTTTCAATTTAATTACTTATCCATTCTTTATTAGAGAGTTTACTTACATTATTATTGTTTTGACATAATTTTCATAATTTGAAAAAATACTTGTAGAAAGCAGAAAAAGAGGGGGGAACCCCACCAAATTTGAATAATGAATGTAATATCTTTTTCTTTTCTTTTAGACAGATTGAATTATCTAGCGTATTTGCATTGACTGTGGTTTTGCATTGATTTAACTTTTTCAAATTAGCATTTCTGACCTGTCCTATTGGAAGACTTGAAGGTGATTGTAAATCAGGATTGTTTGGCCCATGGTGCCTACAAACATTTGTTGGGGAACCGAGAATTATTTCCTCAACATTTTACATGTTTTAAAAAAGAGAGACCTTGCCATTAAACTCAGGGTGGTGGTGGAGTTCTCCTGAAAAGGCGCTAGCGCCTTGGCTATTTGGAGTGCAGTAGAAATCAGGCCCCAGTGATTCCGCTTGGCGGGGGCGCTGGCACCCCTGCACTGCGGCAGGACCTCAGCACTGCGGCAAACAGTTGCGGTTGCGCAGCCAAAGTCGGAGGGGTGGCTAGCTGCGCATGCGCAGGTGGAACTGGTGTGATTAGCCCTGCCGCAGTGACTGGAACACAGAGTGGAGTGGTCGCCGGAGATGCCTGAAGGTCTGTTCTGAGGAGCGGCTAGCAGCGCGATGGAGCGGGCCAGGTCAGCTGTGTGGATGTCTTCCCTTAGAGACAGCCTAGGAAATACTCATTTTGGTTTGTTCAATGTTCCAAGTTTGCCGAACTTGGAGTATTGTTGTATATACTCGGAATCCGGGTCCTAAAGTTCTTTGTTCTGGGGAACTGACTGAGGGTTTGAGGCTTGGTTGTACCTCCTCGGAAAGTGTTCTGTCCATGTCGTGTTGTGTCTTGGCTGGTATATATCACTCTAGTGTGTCCCATCAGATCCTTTCTAGAGTGGCCTTTTGTCCTTGAGATCTGAGGCCATGACTGTGGTTTGGGAGGGTACATTGTGATGGCCGTGGTGTGAAAGGCAGGGGAAGATATGATGGGATAGGATCAGTGGGGAGTCCACAGTACCAAGGAGGGGACGATAAGGTAGGACATACGGTAAAAGTGACAGTGGTATGGGGGGGCGGGGTACCAGGGTAGCTACAATGGCGGTGGTAAGGAGGGGTATTTGGGGTGAGGTGTCCACAGTGGTGGTTTTAGTAATGGTGGCCGCCATGGTGGTGGTGGGAGGGAGCTTAAGGTGGGCTGTTCATGGTGTCGGTGGTAGCGAAGGGGTCGCCATGGTGGCCATGCTGTTGGTTTGGCGGTGAGCGAGGTGGCCACTGTTTTAGTGATAATGGAGGGGATGGCAGGGTGACCAGCAAGGTGATTTTGGTGGCCATGGTGGGCGGGGGCAGCAAGTGACCGTCATGGTGGTGGTAGGGAGGGACTGTGGTGGGGAGGGACGGCGGGGGTGGCTGCCATGAGGGTGATACAAAGAGGGTGGCACATTGAAAAGGGTGACCCACCAGGGTTTATTATCTGTGGGGGCGGTGGAGCAGCCATGCTATTGTTGATGGGAGGGGGGCGATTGGATGGTAGTGGGGGTGGTGATGGTGGTGTATGGGAGCTTTGGCCGAGTGGCCGCCACGGTTGTGGTAGAGTGAGCTTGGTAAGAAGGGGCATTGGGGTGGAGGCAGCGGACAGGGAATTTGGTGAAGGCCTGATGTAGTCGTGAGTGGTCCACAGCCCCCAGTTTGAGGAAAAGGGAGAACGTTCAGTTTTCTCTGACCTGAGGCAGTCTTAGGTGTTTGCCGCTGCCCACCGCTCACCTGAAGGGATGTTTGTCTGTCATAGTCCCTCGTTTCTGTGGTTTTGGTGTAAGATTAGGGATATGGCGTGCAGAGCTTGCTTTATGAATTTTGTGAGAGTCATGCAGGTTCTGGGCTGTAATACTGCAGAGGTGTCTCTTGTTTGCATTGATTTTCTGCATTCGGAGTAAGGTTTTCGAAAGTCGCTTGGGGGCTCTTAGGGGTCCAGTGCCGCGTCACAAGCATTGTGCGACTTGCCAAAGATGGCTGCCGCTGCAGATGTGCAAATCTGCGCAGGCGCAACAGGGTAGGGGGCAGCCACCCCCTCCCCAGTGCCGCAGTGGGGGAAGGGGTAGTTTATGTAGCCTCTGCCGCGCGGCAATTTCAGCGGCATCCTCAAAGCGTGGTGCTAAAGGGAGGAGGCGGGCAAGAGTGGATAGCCACCCCCTCCAAAGTGCTGCAGTAGGGAAGGGTGCAGGATTTGGGATGCGCAGGCGCAACAGAAAACAGCGTCTCTGCCCTGCAGTGGGGCGGGCACCAGAGGAGGGGGTTTGCGCAGCCTCCGCCTGGTGGGGATGGCTGCCACCCCCCTTCACCTGTCCGCTGTAATGGCTGCTCCTTCCCTGTTGTGCTGCAGTGGGTGGAGGGAAGGAGGACACAGAATTGTTGAGCCTGTACCTTGAGGCACACCCCCCCCCCCCTTTTCCCCATAAGGTCACTTCCAAGGGGAGAGGACAATGAGGCAAAGGATTTGTATATTCTATGCCTGCGTGGACTGGCAGCCAAGCTGTGCCCCTGCCTTTCTATGGTGCTGTAGAAAGGAGAGATGGGGGCCTGGAGGGCAAGAAAGGCAAAGCCATCCTATGATCCACAGTGCTACTGGTAGAGGAGATTTTAAATCTGTGTTCTGACTTTTTAGAAAGGCCCACCTTTTCATTTTCATAGATTCCCTAGGTTGTATTGTGAACAATCTAATTGTTGTTAATATTCAGAGGGGATTCAGTAACCCCTTAAACAACTCTCCTTCCTATAACATTTGATTTCCATTTTCCAGATTTGGTCACTCTACACCTGCATCACCTTTAAGAATGTGTTTTATTTCTTAATCTTTGGATATTACTTTCGTGATGTCGCTTTTATGGACAATTTCCTTAAACTGGGCATCAGGGCTTCTCCAGGGTTCTTAGGAGCTGAGAATTGTAAATTTCGTGTGCTCAAGAACAGAGGAGAGCATCAGAAGAGTAGAATGCTACGGGGGTGTGAGTATTGAATTAGGGAATTGTTGCCCCCGTTTTATTTTTAAAGTGATACTTTTGATCGATCAGTTTTGAAGTTGGAGTTACTATGAAAACTTGGTGAGAAAGTACAATTAACAAAGTAACTATTCTAGTATTCCGTATTCCACCTTTTGTGGGAGGTATTTTCAAGGACATTGTTTTTCTTCACAAGATTTTGATGGGCTTGCCTTTCTTTCTTTCTTTCTTTCTTTCTTTCTTTCTTTCTTTCTTTCTTTCTTTCTTTCCTCTCTCTCTCTCTGTCTCTCTCTTCCTTTTCTTTCTTTCTTTTTTTCCCCTCATCTATCGCAAACAATATGTCTGGTTGTGCTGAGTTGGAATGTAATTAAGGAAAACGTAAACCCAGAAGCCTTGGAAAGCTTGTTGTGGAATCTTTCTGAGTAGTTTTAAAAATAGCAGAAGTCTGGAATTTTGTTGCTCATTTTTCCTACTTGTATACACATACTGCATCAAATAACTATATTTTGATTTAACTTCTGATCATTTTGGCTATTTGCAAAATGAGTGTGTATTATACTGGTCAGCCATTTTGTAGTTTTTCACTCAGGCTTAGGATCTCAATATGGCGGATCCCTTTGGAAAGACCTCTGAGGTTTCAAGGTCTCTGCTGAGCCTGTTGAATATTTGGCTTAGTATGTGGGCTTTTTGAAAATCATTTTGAAAATGATCAGTCAGTGTGAACCCTTTCTGTGGTTTAAAGTGAGGAAACAGGGGCGCCTGGGTGGCGCAGTCGGTTAAGCAGCCGACTTCAGCCAGGTCACGATCTCGCGGTCCGTGAGTTGGAGCCCCGCATCAGGCTCTGGGCGGATGGCTCAGAGCCTGGAGCCTGTTTCCGATTCTGTGTCTCCCTCTCTCTCTGCCCCTCCCCCGTTCATGCTCTGTCTCTCTCTGTCCCAAAAAAAATAAATAAACGTTAAAAAAAAATTTTTTTTTTTAAATAAATAAATAAAGTGAGGAAACAGTCCAGGGATTGTTGTATTGCTATCTAGGGCAAAGTACTGTCTGGTTTGGGTTTATTTAGAGATTATTTTGTATTAACTTGGTTTGCCTACTGCATATGTCCAGTGCTTCTTTGCTGAAATACTTTCTGTATATGTGGTGATGCTACATCTTTATTTCTCCCCTTTACTCTAAATGTGCTCAGATTTGTTTTTGAAAAATTCTGCCTTTAAGATGTCAAGGCCTCAAAATTAATCTCTTAATTTTTTTAATTGGAGTTTAGTTGACACAGAATGCTCTATTAGTTCCAGATGTACAACATAGTGGTTCAACAACTCTATGTGTTGTGCTGTGTTCACAAATGTAGTTATCATCTTTCACCATATAGTGCTGTTAATGATATGGTATTTGACTTCCTCTGACTTGTTTCACTTAGCATTAACACCCTCTAGTTCCATTCATCTTGTCAAAAATGGAAAATTTTTACTTTTTATGGCTGAGTAATATTGTATGTGAATATATATGTTGCATCTTTATCCATTCGTCTATGGACAGATACTTATATGATTGCTTTCATATCTTGGCTATTAAAAATAGTGCTGCAGGCAACGCAGGGGTACCTGTGTCTGTGTCTTTTTGAATTAGTGCTTTTGTTTTCTTTGGGTAAATACTCACAAGTGGAATTACTGAATCATAGGCTATTTCTATTTTTTATTTTATGATGAACTTATATACTGTTTCCCACCGTGATTGCACCAGTTTACATTCTCCCCAAGAATGCAATCAGTAGGTTGTCTGTTTGTTTTGTTGATGTTGTCCTTTGCTGTGAAAAAGCTTTTTATTTGGGTGCAAGCCCTATAGTTTAATCTTGGTTTTGTTTCCCTTGCCAGAGGAGACCCATGTAGAAAAATGTTGCTGAAGCCAGTGTCCAAGAAATTACTGCTTATGTTTTCTCTAAGGAATTTTATGGTTTCAGGTCTGACATTTAGATCTTCAATCTGTTTTGAGTTTCTTACTTTTTGACACTGCACTCTTGTGCTCAGATAGATTTAGGAAGAATCCTTGAAGTAATCAGGGCATGAGTATTGTCTCAACCTGACAGGGACAATGAAGTTTTTGATCTTCAGTTTACATTTGGATTTTATTGCGGGTCCCCTTTATCCCCGCCTCTTTTGTGGCCCAGAGCCAGGAAGCTTGAGTAAGAGTTGTTGATGGTTAAGGTTGTCTCCTTCACTAACAAATGTTGGGTAAGGAAGTGATTTCTTTTGCCTCCTAGTTCCTGAATGCTGATGGCTTAGAATTTACTTTTTAATGATACCATGGGTTTTGTTTGAGAGGAACTGACTTTGTTTATGAGATCTGTAGACTGAGATGACCTCATATTTTCTTTTATTTTTCATTCTTGAGATCTTAGTAGTTGAATTTCAGTTAAGTTTTTTTTTTCTTTTTTTTGGTAGGATATAAGGCATATTAAATATTTGACAATGTTTAGGCTACTGGGAAAAACATTGTGTGATCTGATCACTTTTAAGTAAGTTGTATGCCTAACGTGGGACTTGAACTCACAACACCAAAATCAAGAGTCCCATACCTGCATGCTCAACCAACTGAGCCAGCTAAGCACCCCATCTTTTTTCCTTTAAATGCTTATTTTCTGAAAGCTGGTTTCTAGGTTGGAAATGCAGTAGGAAGATTATAAATGCAAACACATGTATGCATATTTAGAACAAACTTCTAATGTTATCAAAACACATCTGCTCATAGATGATTCTACATGTAGCTTTAAAAATGGGTTCAGAAAATTGAATAATTTGTATGCTGGTTCTTAAATGAACTCAGATCCTTTCATACTGAGCAACTGGTATGAAGGGGTAAAGGAGCTGAACATTTTCATTTTAAAGATTTTTTGGTAATGATGATGTATTCTTAATTATACTATTAGGTTAATCATAATTGTCCATGAACATAGACCTTTTTATTATATAATTTTAATATAATATTGTATTAAGTATATTTGTGAAGCCATGTTTCATCAGTAAATACTTAATTCCTTTTTGGGACTGAATGACATTCCATCGTATTGAATATACCATATCACACCATATTTTGTTTATCCATTTTTTGGTGGTTGTGCTTTGGGTGTTTCCACTTTTTGGCTCTTATGATTAATGCTGCTAGGAACAATCACACTCAAGTTAATGTTTTTTTTATTTCATTCCCTCTAGGAGTGGAGTTACTGTGTCAAATGTTAACTATATTGTTCACAATTTTAGGAAGTGCCAGAGGCTGCACCATTTCATGGTCCGACTAGCAATTTCTCCACCTCCTCCTTCACTCCTGAGGTGTGAAGTGGTGTGTTTATAGTTTGATTTGCATTTCCCTAATGACTATAGTGATACTAAGTATATTTTCTCATGCTAATGTAAATTTGTATGTCTTTGGAAAGCCGTCTGTTCTAATCTTTCACCCATTTTGAAGTGGAGTTTTGTTATTATCAAATTATATACTCTTATCATTTAAAACTCTGATGTACAGATGTGATGTTTAAATGATTTCTCTTGCTTGGTTAGAACATTAAAGTTTTTGAAGCAATAAAGCACCTTGGGCTTACTAGAAAGCTATTTGATTGGATTACTTTGGTTCTAACATGAATTTTAAAATAGCAAAACAGTTCAGAGAATTAGCTTTGGGGCTATTTCCTTTGAATTCTGGCTTTCAAATAAGTATGTTGCGTAACTTTTATAAAATGTTTTTCCTTCTATCATTTCTGATTTAACATTTTTAAATTGCAGTTTTAGGAGTGGTTCCTGTAGTTTCTAACATGGAATACCAGGTGCAAGATTTCATGCTTAGATCCATTGAGCAGCCATTTTGTGAGCTGTTCTGCAAATCATAGGATGGTGGTAGCTTATGGTATTAGTTTTACTTTTTTTTTGCTTAAGCATCCCTTTTATCTCTTATTGTGCAAATCCTAGGAAAACAGCATTTGCATAGGAAGTTGCTTAAGTAGAAATTCTATATTTTCAGCTTTATGCTTTATTCTATTCTATAGGATCTATCCTAAAAAGATATTTTCAGACTAGTTTTGAAATCAACATTGCTGTTTTCTCAGGGTTAATGCAGGTATGGGTAGTGAGTAGGTCAGTGTATATAAATGTATTTCAGTGAATGTAAAGTTTTAATCTGTACATGTAAAAGTAAGTGGAAATACTTTATTTTTGCTTAACTGATACCATCTTCACCCCACCACACCGTGCTGTTCTCTGACATTAAAGGGCTTCTAAAGGGGAAAGTGGCTTTAGGATAGATCCTGACTGTTGGAAGGTATTCTAATATTAAAATTTTGTCTTGTTTATTTTCCCCCATTTTTATTAAGACACAATTGATGTATATTACTACTGTACTTTTTTTTTTTTTTTTTTTTTTTTTTTTTTTTTTTTTGAGAGACAGAGAATGGCGGAAGGGGCAGAAAGAGGAGCAGACGGGATCCCAAGTGCTTGGGATCTACTCTGACAGCAGAGAGCTTGATGTAGGGCTCAAACTCAGGAACCATGAGATCATGACATGGGAGGAAGTCAGATGGTTAACCAACTGAGACACCCAGGCACACTACTACTGTACCTTGTTTTAATTAGATTATAAGCACTTTAAAATCTCCATCATATTAAATACAGCTCTAAATAAGCCTTTAACTAAGTGGTTATTTTAAAGTTATTGAAGTCTATCAAATAAATTCCGCTTTCTGTTTCAGGGACCGCTTACACCTGAGACGGACCACGGAGCAGCACGTACCAGAGGTGGAAGTACAAGTCAAACGTAGAAGGACAGCCTCACTGAGCAACCAAGAGTGAGTACATTCTGGGTTGAGAACCAGTTTAGGTCATAATTATTTTTCAAATCAGAACAAAGTATAATGCAATGAGGGTGTATTGAAATGAATTTATTAATGAAAGAACTATAGGACTGTAATATAGAAAATATAGCAAAATGGTTAAATTATTCTTAAACATGTGGTACTAATTTCTGTTCAAAAATTTAGTAAAGTGCATTTCTTTTTATCCCATATGTGTATGTGGATTATATCTTCATTAAATTCTATATCTTTCAACTTTGATATTTAAATTATGCCTGTTTTATTTATGTTGTTACTAAACTACTTTTTCTATGTTTGCAAAATGTTCTATGCATTTGATGGAATGCTAATTTATATTTATACTTGGCAATATTCAGATTTTTATTTTTGCTTAGTGCATTTATCCAATTAAAAATTTGAAATGCATGGGGCACCTGGGTGGCTAAGTTTGTTAAGTGTCTGACTTCCGCCCAGGTCATGATCCCATGGTTTGTGAGTTTGAGCCTCACATCGGGCTCTGCACTGACAGTTCAGAGCCTGGAATCTGGTCCAGATTCCGTCTCCCTCTCTTTCTGCCTTTCCACCACTCACACTCTGTCTCTGTCTCAAAAGTAAATAAACAATTAAAAAAAAATTAAAAATTTTTGAAATGTACACATTTTTTTCCTTCTCCTTAGTTAGGATATCTACATGTAGATACACTTTTAAATTTAGATTTCCAGAAGGGGGATTTTAATATAAAATATATCAACATTTTTAATGATCCGATACATACTGAGTATTTATTGGAACTTGTATTTTGTTTCTAATCTTGACAGTATCAGTGGGTGGCATTTTTGGCCCTTTCCCAAAGCTGTTTAATTTTGTTATTTTCCACAATTACAAGTAATAAAAACATGAGTATAGTCTCTTTAAAACACCTAACATTGGGGCGCCTGGGTGGCGCAGTCGGTTAAGCGTCCGACTTCAGCCAGGTCACGATCTCGCGGTCCGTGAGTTCGAGCCCCGCGTCGGGCTCTGGGCTGATGGCTCAGAGCCTGGAGCCTGTTTCCGATTCTGTGTCTCCCTCTCTCTGCCCCTCCCCCGTTCATGCTCTGTCTCTCTCTGTCCCAAAAATAATAAATAAACGTTAAAAAAAAAAAAAAAACTTTAAAACACCTAACATTCAGGTAAAAAGTATTCACTTCAACTTACCATCAGTTGTTTCCCATTCCCTCCCTGGAGATAACCCACAGGTATGTAGATGTCTATACTTTGAGATCTTTTTCTGTTTATTCATGTGTATGCACACATGGTAGGGAGAGGAGGAAGGCATACTTGTGATTTGTTTGGCTACATATGTAAGATTTATTGTTCTGCAATCATATATCTTGGGGGGGGGTCTTTGTATGTCACTGCATATAAATCAACCTTATTGTACAAATTTTAGAGGAGGGGTGGTATGATAACATAATTACATTCATAATTAGCTTACTGATATTTAGGCTGTTTGCATTTCTTTTAAAAAAATTTTAATGTTTGTATATTTTTGAGAGAGAGAGACATAGCACACGTGGGGGAGGGGCAGAGAGAGAGGGAGACAGAATCCAAAGCAGGCTCCAGGCTCTGAGCTGTCAACACAGAGCTTGAAGTGGGGCTCCAACCCATGGACTTTGAGATCATGACCTGGGCACTCAAGGACTGAAGCACCCAGGCGCCCCTAGGCTGTTTTGCATTTCTTAGCTATTATAAACAAAGATAAGGACAGTCAATTTGAAAGTTAATATTCATTATTATTTACATTTTATTTCTCCCTCAAATATAAGGCTTTTTTTTTTAAAGCTGTTATAAAATGGCAGTAGCATTTTGTCTCCTATTTTTGTTATTTGCACATTTTACTTGTAGGAATATTGCAATATATTTTCACTTGTACATTTTAAATTACTGGTGAGGCTAATGATTTCCTCATTTTCCCTATTTTATTTATTCTACCTGACCTCATTCTTTTATTACATTTTTATTTGGGGAATTACTTTGAAAAGAAGTATTTTATGAATGAATATTTTATATAATTTTTCCTTTATAATAGACTTTTTGCCATGTTAATTTTCTCTTATAAAGTAATGTCTTTCGTAACTGCAAAACTCTTAAAAGTGACATTTTCTTTTTTTTAACTTTTAAAAGTTTATTTGAGAGAGATTGAGATAGTGCAAGTGGGGGAGGGGCAGAGAGAGAAAGAGAATCCCAAGCAGGCTCCATGCTGCCTGTTCAGAGCCCGATGAGGGGCTCAAACTCCCGAAACCATGACATCGTGACCTGAGCTGAAACCAAGAGTTGGACGCTTAACCAATTTAGCCACCCAGACACCCCAAAAAGTGACATTTTCCCCAGAGTCTCTAGAAGTATTTGAGGTTGTTTAGAGATTGGGGTGGAGGTATTGAGGGGGGGGGGTTTCTTGAGGGAGATCTTTTGTTAGTGTTAATGGTTCTATCATATTTGTTATATTTTGTTAGAGCCATTATCTTATACAGGATCAGTGTGCACCAGCATAACAGGTAATCTCTTCCTCATCTTCTTTAAGCATTCCTTAGGTGTCATTTTCTTGTCTGCCTCTTTGGAAACATGTTACTTTCAAAGAAGAAGTAACTTCATTTCCTGACTTCTTCTGTATATATTATATATAAATACTAGAGGGTGCTAAAATGAAGGAGGGGAATTTTGAGTTAGGGAAATAGTGTAATTTCCCCAGTAACCTCTCTCTGTTTTGAGAGTGTGTGATTATGGGGATGGGTAAGCAGTATGGATATTCTCTAAGCCCTGGTACATATGCTCAGGATTCTCTCAGGATTGGGATATTTGATAGTTATAGTATGTTTATTTTAATCATAATCCATAAATATCCCACCTTTTGCCAAACTAAAAGCCAGTATTCCTGAGAAATTGTGTGTACACCAGTTCTAATGGCTAATGAAGGATTGCTATTCATGTTGCATCCAAGATACAAAATGAAATTGAATAAAAACTAAAACTTTGCAGACAGAACATCCATCCAACAGACCAACCATAACTATTAATAGAAGCTAAGTGATTTGTACTCCTGAAATTGATGGTTAGTCTTTCTTCTAATCTATCAAGTAATCAGTTTTGGATTTGGGGGCTGGTGAATGTCTTTCCTGTTTATTGATGTACTGTAAATTTGAGAGAATTTGGAGATTGGGGCCGGAGAGCCTTCTGGAGAGACCATTTTCGGTACCCTTTCAGATGTTTTTCTTATTTATTTATTTATTTATTTATTTATTTATTTATTTATTTATGTTTTAATGTTTTATTTATTCTTGAGAGAAAGAGAGACAGAGCATGAATGAGGGAGGGGCACAGCGAGAGAAGGAGACACAGAATCCGAAGCAGACTCCAGGCTCTGAGCTGTCAGCACAGAGCCTGACGTGGAGCTTGAACTCATGAACCATGAGATCATGACCTGAGCCGAAGTTGGACGCTCAACTGACTGAGCCACCCAGGCACCCTTCAGATGTTTTTCTAAATTTACATTCTGCATTTCACAAAGTAAATGTTATGTGTACTGCATCTTATTTTCTCAGTTTTACCTTAATCTTCAGTTGGGTTTCAGGTTAAACCCAAAAGAGACACTCCAATAGGAGTTTAAAGAATCCAAAAAAAATTTTTTTTGGTTGAAACATGTTTTAAAACCTTATTGGGTCAGGGGCTTAGTTGCCATTTGGTAATGAAAGGATTGGAAATGAGAACACCCAAATAAAGATTTAATTATTCATTGATTAGAATGGGACAGTTTAAAAGCATGGGCAATGTAATTCAGATTCTCTGGAGTTAATGTAGACTTGACACATTAAAGGTACAGTTCTCCATAAGATGACCCTCAATTGAGATACCAGCTGCAAGCCTCAAAGTTTCTAGGCCACCTGAACTTTTCAACAGGTAGATATAATTCAAAGTTTCCATTATTTTCTCAGGTTCTGTAATTTGTTAGAATGATTCACAGAACTCAAGAAAGCACTATACTTACTATTAAGTTTACAATATGGGATACAAATCAGGATAAGCCAAATGGAGAGACTTCTAGGGCAAGATCTGTAATGTCCATGTCCTTAGGATGTAATAGACACTCAGCACATCAGTGTATAGGTCATCAACCAGGAAGCTCACCAGAACTTTGTGTGCCTTCTATAGTTTTTATTAGAGTTCTAGTACTTGAAATGATTGAATAATTGGCCATTATGATTGAAGTCCATCTCACTCTATGCCATCCCTTCCCAGGAGATCAAGCTCAAAAGCCCCACACTCTAATCACGTGGTTGGTCTTTGTGCCTTGGCCAGCCCTTATCCTGAATCATCTTGTTAACATTAATTCAGGTGTGATCCAAGGGGCCCACCACGAATAATGAAGACACACTCCTATCACTTGGTAAACTCAGGTATTTAGAGGTTACTTCTCAGAAACCATGGACAAAGGTTAACACAATGCTTTATTATACAACAGAATGTTTAAACTGTTATTTAAAAACTGGGGCACCTGGGTGGTCCAGTCAGTTGAAGCGTCCGACGTTGGCTTAGGTCATGATCTTGTAGTTCAGGAGTTCCAGCACTGCATCAGGCTCTCTGCTGACAGCTCAGAGCCTGGAACCTGCTTCACATTCTGTGTCTCCCTCTGTCTCTGCCCCTCTCCCACACACTCTCTGTCTCAAAAATAGAAAACATTAAATTTTTTTAAATGTTATTTAAAAACTATGGAAAATAGTGGAATACCTTTTGTGAAACCTGTTTCCAAATCTAACTGCTATGGAATAGTTATATATATACATACGTACATATACACACACATGTATATATATACATACACACACACACATCACACACACATACTTAACAAGGGAAGATTTGCTGGTGATTACTTTTTATGCTTGTTTTGTTAGCCAGTAACACTTTGTACATTTCTTCATCATTCTTAGAATCAGATTCACAGCCTGATTACTGATCCATTAGGGATAAGTTAAGGGCTTTTCTATGGAATTCCCTTCTGACTAATAGGTAGTCAGTTTACAGTTTGAGACTCTAAAAAGCCTGGGCCCTGGTAGTTCCTTGTTTCAGGTGGTTACTCAGGAGTAAGAGAATGGATGACAGTCTTAACATCTCCTGAAAATGGCTTAGCAAATGCCTCACTCCTCTTACTAGGGGTTAAAGGATTGTTTCCAGATAGGATTGGAAAGTGAGTAATGGATATGGTACTGATGGTGTCTCCAACTTTTTAAAAAAATGTTTGTTTATTTAATTTTGAGAGACAGAGTGAGTGGGGAAGGAGCAGAGAGAAAGGGAGACAAAGAATCCCAAGTAGGTTCTGTGCTGTCAGCACAGAGCCTGATGCAAGGCTCAAACTCCTGAACAAGGCGATCATTCATTACCTGAGCCAAGAGTATAACGGTCAACTGACTAAGCTACTCAGGCACTCAAATACAGGGCTTTTTAAACCAAAAGAACTTTTTTTTTAATTCCTTCAGTAGTATCCTACTTATCCAAAGTGGTAAGTATCCTGTTCCTTGCACATTGCTGTGTACACAGAGACTCCTGTTTCTTCTTAATAGTCTCTTTATAAGGTAATGGCATGCTCTGACCCTAATTGAGGATCTTTTTAAATGTAAGGTCGCCACATTTTCTTTGGTATTGTTATCCATATAAGGCAAATCTCTTTTATATTTATGTGTATTGTGCTCTTGTCATAGGTGTCAGCTCTACCCAAGGCGATCTCAGCAGCAGCAAGTACCTGTGTTGGATTTCCAGGCGGAATTGAGACAGGCATTCTTAGCAGAGACACCAAGAGGTGGTTAAAGCAGTATTGGAACATCCAGGTTAGCTGATTTCCAAGTGAAAAACCAGGTTAGAGCTGATACAGTCATGGTCAGTAATAAATAATGTGCTTGGAGGTCACTTTAGTTATTTGGGATATATTAAAATTTTTTCCTTAAAAATTTCATATTACAAGCAGAAAGTTAAAAAATGTAAAAGCAATAGGATCTTGACATTCTTACCTTGATATTTTACTTTCCCAGTTATACATGCTTGTTAAGTAGTTTTACTCATATCTAAATTCTATTGATTTTTCAAATTAATCTTATATGAACATACTTCATTATAAATGGCTGCTAAATACTTGTGAATCAGTGTTTTGTAATTACCTTTTGTGAGAAACTTCATCTTTTTTCCTGGTAGTTTCAATAAAGCTTCAGTGGACTGCTGAGCATAACCTATCAGATGGAATTATTTCCTCAGATATGCAAATGTGAAAATAAATTGAATCAGGAATATAACCTTAGGGTACATTTTTCTAAACTGTATTACAAAGTATTAGTCTCTTTTGCCCTGAAAATAATAAGAGTGCCTGATGACGCTACACTTTTACCTGCATTGGTTGTTTTAACTACATATCATTTGTGCCTACTGAATTATAAATATACATCACATTCTTAAATAAGCTAAATAATTTCCCATGCATATTTGCTAACTATTCCTTTTTTTGTTTTCTCTTTTTTTCACTTTTGTTTTCAACAGTGTAGTTGAATCAGCTGATAATGTATCAGTGTATTTGATTCAGCTGACAATGTAATAAAATATTATCCATGATTTTTTCACTGTGATGTAGATTTATTTACAGTCTGTCTTTCTATGTTTTATGTGACCTTAAAATTTTAAGATTTGAATGACTCCAGGGGTTTAATACACTTTTTAGAAACTAGGAGAGAAAGGGACCTTTTGGATGAATTTTCTTCTAGATTTTCTTTATTTCTATTTTTATGTATTACCCCACAACTCAAATTAATTAGACTTGTTTATAGCTACTATTTTGACTTTTAAAGCAAAAGAGAAAAAAATGTAAGTTTTCTGAGAAAAATTCTCCCCTGCTGAATCCTTTACTCAGCATTCTCCAGTAATAATAACCTGGAATTGATTGTAAGGCAGTGGAATTGATTCAGGCAGTGGAATCTGATCATTGTCCCCAGCTGTTCTCAGAGTAGGGCCATCTTTAAATGACTCTGAACAATTGATTTTTTTTTTTTTTTAACCAGGAATGTTTTGGCTTCTCAGTGCATTTCATATACTCTTGTAAGTTCCTAACTATAATTTTATTTATTTATTTATTTATTTATTTACTTACTTACTTACTTACTTACTTACTTACTTACTTACCTACCTTACTTACATGAGGCTTGAACTTACCTCAAGATCAAGAGTCACATGCTCTATTGACTGAGCCAGCCAGGTACCCCTATTATTTAAATCCTACATTATAATCTATCTGCAAGTACAATTTTCTGATGTTATGTTTTATTCTAGTCCCAAGTGCTAGTTAAACAGCACTCATTTAGTAGGATTATTCTACAGCAGGGATTGTTAAAGTATCTGACCCACTCACTGTCTGTTTTATAAAAAAAAAAAAATTATTGGCACACAACCAAGTAATCGTATTTATGTATGGTCGGTGGCTGTATTTGGAATTACAGCAACAGACTAGAATAGTTGTAACAGATTAAATGGTAGGCAAAGCCTAAAATTAATCCTCTTCCTTAAAGTTGATTGGCATCTTAGATAACCACATTCAAAGATGAAAATACCAGGTTGGGACAATGGATGAGTGGTGATACTATAGAATGTTGTAAAGAAAAAGGGGTTATAGGAAAGAGTGTATATAAATGAAGTAAACATTACAAGGTAGAGAATCAGATGAATTTCTGGGATGAGGGTCAAATCGAACAATTAGTCCAAGGAATAAATGTAGATGGGTAGGTTTTTAAAGATATTTTAACAATTGATATGCTTCCTTTTTTCCTATAAAAATCTAAAGCATCCAAGTGATAGCCAAGAAAAATGTGAAAGTAAACCAAAGATTTTTAAACCTACCATAAGGTTGAATTTTCTTTCATTTTGCCCATTTTCTTTTTTTAGTTGGAATCATGCTTTTAACAAACTTATTTTGTATTTATTCCACTTAAATGTATATCATTAATGTTTCCTCATTTTATTATTGCTCATAATTATGATTTGTTATGAATAAATGACAGTTCATTCATTATTTACTTTTCCCTTGTACTTGTTTTTTTTTCCTAGTTTTACTATGCTGTTATAAACATTAGTTCTATATTTTAAAGATATATTTGGTATGTTAAATTTATTAGGATAAGAGTCTAGGATAAGGACTGCAGGCTATAAATATTAGTATGACTCTTAAATGTTTTGTTCCATTGCTGACAGCATCATAAGCATTATTGATTGCCATTTAGAACAATTACTGCTAGTGCTAGTTTCTCAGTACCATCTGTGGTGCCTTTTTTTTCTTTGATAAATAAACAGTTCCAAAAAAGGAAAATTGTGTGTGCACGTGTGTGTGCGTGTGTGTTGTGTGTGTGGGATTTAAACTGGCCTTGCCTTCTGGATGAATATTGTCCATTTGTTTGTGTTACCTCCTTTTACTTGTTAAGCTTTTTTGTATATTTTTCTGTGAAGGGTGTGCTATATTACCAGATTTGAATGAGCACTAATGCATTACCATTATTATATGATTTCTGATTTGCTTTATGTGACTTGGCTACGATTGACCATCCTTCTTTTTTAATGTTTATTTATTTTTGAGAGACTGAGCACCAGTGGGGGAGGAACAGAGAGAGAGGGAGACACAGAATCCAAAGCAGGCTCCATGCTCTGAGCTGTCAGCACAGAGCCCGATGTGGGGCTCGAACCCACGAACTGTGAGATCATGACCTGAGCTGAAGTCTGACTCTTAGCAGACTGAGCCACCCAGGTGCCCCAACCATCTTATCTTTTCACTTTTTTTTTTTTTTTTTTTAAGTTTTGTCATTAGAAAAGTTCCCAAAAGTTTAAGAACTTCTGTGGAAAATCTTACAATGTTTGAGTCAGGGACTTGGGCCATTTATTTGCTTATGTGCCTTTTGATGTAAGGAGATTTATCATAACTGCCAATTCATCAGTGCATTATGATTTTGCTACTCTTTTCCTTTTCATGAGGCATTTTGCTGTCATTTGTTGTGAAGATATATTTGATCAATCTCCAAAGTAATATATCATTTTCCTGTTACAAGGGTTCATGATTATAGTGTACTAAATTTAGGGATAAGAGATAACTTTCTAATTTCAGGTCCTATTCATTAGGGGAAGTCTTTCTTTTCTTTTTTTTTTTTTTATTTATATATGAAATTTATTGTCAAATTGTCATACAACACCAGTATCAATCCCAAAGGTGCCCTCCTCAGTACCCATCACCCACCCTCTCCTCCCTCAGGGGAAGTCTTTCTTAACCACTCTAGTCAACCCCTTTTCTGAGTTGTAATATGTATGTATATCCCTTATTTTATACAAAATATTTTGTATCATATTACATGTCCCATATCCCCAGTTCTCTAGGTCTCCAGTTCTTTTTTTTTTTTTTTTTTTAAGATATTTTGGGAAATCTATTTATTTTTTGTTTTAGTGTTTTTTTTTTTTTGAGAGTGAGCACGTACAGATGAGCTGGGGAGGGGCAGAGAGAGGAGGAGACAGAGGATCTAAAGCAGGCTCTGTGCTGACAGCAGAGAACCCGATTCAGGGCTCAAACTCACAAACTGTAAGACATGACCTGAGCCAAAGTAAGATGCCTGACCGAGTGGACCACCCATGTACCCCTCCAATTCCTTAGTCTGTAACTCATATGTTGAGGTGCATTTTTATACTTGATAACTAGTTAACAACGTTTAGTAGTTGTGGAAGGGGTTTAGAAACTCAGGGTAGATGAAGGACAGAAGCAGGACTGACTGGCTTTCCCTTTTTATTCTTCTGCTATACAATTGTTCAAATCTATTGGTTTCTTACAGCTAAACTATGAATTAGGTCTGATAGTTGTGTGTTCACTGAAATGTCAGGTGGGACAGAACATTTCAAACTGAGACTGATGGGAAAATCCGTATTCTCAAATCTTTTTGGCATCTGAAGGTAAAAAGTTTTGTTTTGAATTTTAAATTTTTACTGGAGAGGTGTCACCTTAAATGCACACTTGATGCTGGTTTCCATTGCATTAATCCTTGTAAGATACCTTTCTGTGATTACATTTTTTTCCCTTAAATGAAATCTTGAAATCTAGCCCTACCATCTTTTAATTTTCTAATAATCACTGTCTTGTGGCTAAGTATTTGGTAGCATATCTCCATTGTTGATGGTAAAAAGGGTATGCTCCAGTAATAGTGTCTTATTGAGTGGTTAGCTTTTTTGTTTTGTTTTGTTTTTTTTGCACTAACGGTGATATAAAAAGCAGTGTTAACAAACTTTCCACGTTATTGAAAGATCCTGACATTTTGCATTTTAACCAGCTTTACTAATGTATAATGTATATACCATAAAAAATCACCGAAATTTTTGTAAATTTACTGACTTCAGCCATTGCCAGGAACTCTGAGAACTTTCCATTTTCAGAGTAAGGTCCCTTATGCTCATTTATATACATTCCCTGTTTCTACCCCCAACTTCAGGTTAACACTTATTTACTTTCTGTTGCTGTGAATTTTTTTGTTTCTATTTTTTTTTTCTGTTTCTGTAGATGATTTACTTTCTGTTACTATGGATTGCTGAAGATTTTAAATCTTAGTAGATATAAAAAATGAAAGTAGCTAATGACTAGAGGTAAAAAATATGTAAGTATTCTTGAATTTAGACTGCTTTATAGATAATCCTGTCAGAATTCAGAACATCTATATTATAGACCTTAAACTACTCCTGTGAGTTTGGGTTACAAACTACATTGATTTGGGGAGAGGAGGGCATGCCAGTCTGCTGATTTGAACAGATCTTTTGAGATCATTACATGTCAGTTTTATGCAAAACATTAAGTCATATACAATGTTGGATGCTGTAAAAGGGGGTATCCTTGATGTCATTGTATCTTTGAAGACCTACATTGGGTAGATGGGGAAAAGAGACAAGTTTATAGATATTATAGTCAGTTATGGTAATTGGAGAAGTATGGACAGTGTTAAGGACAGTATAGGCAGAAAGTCTTTAAGAAAAAAAATGCACAAAAAGTGCATGATAGTTTGCATTTGGAGAACAAAGGTTAGGAGATATTCTAATACCAGGAATTTATTTTTTAGAAAATCTGATACTCCAAAATTCTCATAATGTACTTAACTGCCATCAAATTTTTGTAAATATAGGGAAACCTCTTTTCCACATCTTACCTATTCTTACTGAACTCTTTCTTTCATACCATTCTGTTCTCTTTTGATCGAGTGTCATATAGTTCCACATGGAAAACTGTCTTCAAAACATTTCTTTTACCTTATTGTTTTGATGTTATGTTTCACAACCACTATTTTGATGATTTTATTTTCACATCCTAAAATACAGGATTCATAATTTACTGAATCGGTATACTTAGCTGTTTGCAAAATGTCTCCATTGAAGACAGAGGACAACAAGTTTACTGAAAATGTTTGTATTATTAAAAATAAAATTATGTCAGATTTTGTTTATGATACTAGGCTGCTTTTTTGCATAAAACCAAATTCCCATTCAAGAGTAATATAATTTGTGTGTTTGCTTTCTAAATAAG